GCGTGAGTGGAAAGGGTAAAGTGAGGCTGCTTGGCGTGGTTGCGGCCACCCTGTTTGGGGTTTTTCGTTTATTTATGCCGTTATGATCTCTAGCCTAAAGAACGCTTGCAGAGGACTGACCGCAAAGTTGTTGTGTTCTTAATTCTAGGCTCGCCCACGCGCCGGACGCTTCGTCTCGTTCGCCGGATGCGAGTTCGGTTCAGCCTCGAGCTTGTGAGTGGGTTGGAAAAAAATTGTGAGTGGGTTGTAAGCAGGCCTGGAACTGCACATCTTCCCAAAGTTAGGTGTCTATTTTATCCTTTTACCATATAGAAGGAAGTTGCGGTTCATGTTTTGGTGCTCCAGCGCCCCGCTACGCGTCGCAGTGCGCGTATCGGACGCTGTTCTGCCCTGACGTTTTATCTTCTCTTCCTCTTTTTGCCCTGGCTAGCAGGAAAAAGGCAAGATGGACGTTAGCGGAGCAAAGTTGTATTTAAAGCCTTGACTTTGCCCTTAGTTCACCCCCACTGCTTTTAATATTGTCTGGTTTCCAGAGCTCGGTGGTATGTTTTAATTTGGAATTTCCTTGTTTGTTGAAGTTGGGCCATGAGGGTTGTTCTAATGGATTGTGCTGTTCATTCAATCTCTTATTGCAAACGGGGAAAAAAGCATTTAAAAATGTTGAAAAATATTAATTAGAACATTGATTGGGGAACGGGGCCGAGGAATATCGAGTTTCAGAATACCAGAAGTGTCTTCCTTGTGTTGATGTAGCTATGGCTTTTTTTTTTTTCCTTTTGCTGCCCTCATTATTCTGCTTTTGGTGACAGCACTGTATGTGCGTTCGGGAAGTACACAAAAGTGCTCCTTGCCCAGAAGAAGTTAAAAACAACACCTCATGAGGCTCTCCAATAGCTATTATAGTATAACCTAAATAAGAGGTGTAACCTTGTTTGGCATTTCTGCCGATCCCATGTGACATGTAGTAATATGCTTAAATCCCCGAATACTGTTGTAAATCTGGCCCATAATCTACAGTACACAAGCAGCAGGGATCTGGGAGCAACATCTGCTCAGGATGGGCGCATAAATGCGTTTAATATGGGACTGAAGGAGGGCCCCATTCTTTTTCCAATGAAATCAAGCTGGCAAGTAATGATTTCGGTGATCGCAGACTCTGTTCCATCACCGACAAAGTTTGGTTGGCCTTTTTCTTCTTTTTGAATTGAAGTTTTAGGGTGTTTTTTTGTTTTTTTTTCGTTTTTTGACCTTTCCTTCCCTTTTCTTTCTGTATTATTTCGGGAGTGATTCTTTTCATTGTTGACTGTCTTGCTAATGTAGCAGTTATGTGGGGCAAACGACAAAGGCAAAGAACTAACAGATGAAAGCCAACTGGTGTTACCCATATGATTTAAAGATGCTATTTCTTTATATAAACAACATGCCTGAGGTTGCTATTTCAGCTTGCTTTATCCCACCCATGAATCTCTGGATTTACATGTCATCTATGTGTTCTGCATTGTATCTTTTCCTTTTGTGTGTGTGTATAATTCGTTGTAGTTTAGTATCGTAAAGAGTATCTCCAGCGTGTAACACATACAAGTCAGGGATACCATTATAAAATTGCTGTCCTATAGTGCATGTAATCAGGAATATGCCCTGCGAGGAAGCTTTCGTCTCCCTAAGATGCTTTTAGAGTTCTTGTGTGGCAAAATATTTCCAGCATGCCCCTGAGTGAGCAGTATCAAATGTTTCTCAGTGCTTAGGTTTCTTCTTTTGTGTGGTTTTATTTTAGGAATAGACACTGCAAAATCCAGCTCAGGGCTATGAGAATGGGAAGGTCTTAGCCTTATCAGTCCCTTTGGAATGACATGTATTTAAAATGTCATATCAGGATAATGGTTATGAGATTCATGGCCTTGTTTGCAAGGGTGTCTGTCCTAAGCTAACGCTAAATAGTGCCTCACACACGGTTGCAACTTTTGATTGTGAAATATTATCAAAGCCTTTGAAGCATTATAATGTGAAGCATTATAAAATCTCTGCCATCATAGCAACAAATCTCACCTGACTCACTGAAGAGCCACATATGAATTCAGATTATTTCTGAAGTTGAACAGTCAGTTATTTTTTTCAAAATTACAGTGTACCCACCACAGGAACTTGAGCAAAGCTGAGAGCAGTGGTATTTGGGAAAACGAGAATATCATGGTATTTATGTTCATGCTTTTTACAGGCCTCCACGGTGCCTAAGGGGGATCTCTTAAGCGCTAGATCTGCACATAAAGATCTGGTTTCTTTCTTTCTTTCTTTTTTTTTTTTTTTTTTTTTTTTTACCGTCTGGGGATTGATACACTCTAAGAGGATCACAACTTGTTTATTGTATTCCATAGATGGAGCCTCTTGCATTGAAACCGAAGTGCAAATACAAATGGGAATGGATTGAGTTCGCAAACACTGAAGATGAATACAAAATTGAACAGGAGCACTTCATCTAGGATGCTTTAAAATCAAGTCCTGCTGGCTAAAACCAAAACTCCTGATACTTTCATTGCACTAAGCTTAAGATTCTCAAAAGAAGCAAACAAACAAGAAGCAAGATTAAGAAAGTTTAAATACATAATTCATTATAATACAAGGTACAGTTTTAAGAATTAAGGACCTGAGATATGCATGAAATAATTTTAGAATGAATCAATGTTTGATCCGCTGAATTTTATCACAAGAGTTCTGCTATTTTGGTGAATGAACTAATGAAACAAGTGCCATATGATTAAAGTGTGGGACTCCTTCCGTGGAGGACAGGAGTATAAATAGATCGAAGAAGGGATTCTACAAATTAGTAGAGGTTAGGTCCATCGCTCACTAAGGAATAACACTATGGCCTCAGCGTAACATGTAGCTCCGCAAATCTGTTAACTGGTTGCTGCTAGAAGCAAGACTAGCAGACCAGAGAGAGAAGCTTTTTGTGAAAGCTTTGCTTTCTGTACCCTTTCGGTAGCTTTTGCTACTAAAAACAGGACAGTGGGCGAGGTGTCTGTGCAGAGGCCCATCACAAAAAGTGAAGTTGTCATAAATAGTCTCTATTTGTCAGCTCTGTGTCCCTTAACATGAAAAAGGTCATTTGACTAAGACAGTTTGGTAGTAACTCTAGTATTGCAGGATTGAAGAAGTGAAAGGTTTTTTGGGGGTTTTGCTAATGAAAGCCAAAAAAATGTATATGCTTCAGTTTAAATGAGTGACATTTGGCAGGTCTGAGTTATGCAGCTGGAGGAGCTCTGACATTCTCGGACTCCTAGATATGGACTAGTAATTACCTCCGGTCTGTAACTATTTTTTGCCAGGCAAAACGCATAATTTGGTGAAGTTTGTTATAAGCTATGCTTTACTTTGAAAACCGCAACAATCCTTTGTCCTCTGAGGAATGTGGAACTGCGTTTCTGTCCCTTTGATGGGGTTTTCTGTTTTAGCCTTTGCTCTTGGTTTTGCTGAGCAGGTTAATGTCTACTTTGTGAAGATGGGTGCATCGTGGGTTGGCCCCAAGCACCAGACAGCCCATATTTGTGTAAGCCCTGCAGCAGATTAGGAATCTGTTTCAGACCTCGGTCTGTCCTCTGGTTAAGAAAAAATATCCTCGGTCAGTCCTTTGCAAGTAGCTATTATAACTGGAATGCTGAAATGCAGAACCATGTCAACTTCTTACACCCTCACTTGCCCTTGTGGGGCTCAGATACGAAGCTGAATTTCTTCAAAGAGTGTTTTCATCTCTGCACTGTTTCTTGCGAGGAGAATCGTCAACGCTGCACGAGTCAGGACGGCATTGCTTAATGGGTATAGCAAGACCACGTACAAACGTCGATGATGCGAGCCCAAAATGAACTGTTTTTTTTGAGGAGGGGGGCTGTTTGCTTTTGGGGCAGAGGGTCTTGTTGTTGAAGGTCCTGGTGTTACAAGTTATACGTTCACAATGTATACTTGAATGGCCTCGTTACTCTGTTCTGATTGCTGGCAGATGCCGTACAACTAATGGTGTCATTTCTGTTACTACATCAGTTGTTAAGTGGGCCAGAAAACAGCCTTTAAGATTAAAGTTTAATCAATCCAAGTATGCTGAGAGCGAACAACTATAGACTTTACTCTTTTTGAGAATTATAGTCTACTACTTTGAAATCCCTGGCAGAGATAGAGCGTTCTGTCAGAAAATGTCTCCAGTGAGAAATAGCAGGCAAAGAATATTTTCTGTGGGATGGCATGAGCAACCTTGTACTTTAAAGCTTGTATATTAATTGCTTATTAATGGGCAGCTTTTGGCAGAATTTCTTTTTGGTATGGCCTCAAGAATTTTAATGGAGCATCAGTCAGTGAGTGGAGAAAATACGCTAAAAACAATAAACAGGATATTCAGTGGTTGTATCAGTTTGTGACATTGGCTGAATCAGTCGTGTTCCAGTTTTGGTCAATTATAAACTCTGCGTTAACTTCATTAGGAGCAGAAAGATGCATTACATTCTTCCAGGAAAACATATTGCATTGGGGGTGGATTTTTTTTTTTTTTCCCCTGCAGTAAGTGTTTCAGGAAAGGTTATAAGGAGAGGCAAACAGAAACATAAAAAGCCCTGCAGATACTGAGTAGTTCACTTTCTAGGTCTTGTTTAAAGGCCTCTGAAAGTGATTCCCAAAATGTTTTCAAGCTCACTGAACGTTTTGTATGCCATATTTTTACAAGCAGAGAGGTTATTGCAAGCACGAGTCCTGTAGACATACCCGTACGTGTTTCCCTATATGTAAATATGCACAAACTGTCCTTTCATTTGAAAAACCAGTTTCTTCCCCCTCCCTTCATGAGAAAACAATGCTGCTGAGGTGACTGAGCCTCTGTTCTAATTCTTACGCTCTCCCGTCTTCTGGTGGCCATTGGCTGAAATTTCCCAGAAATAGGATATCCTTCCCAGAAAAGAAGGAAAAGATCGCTCTGTTTAACAGTTGTTCTTTAAACAACCGAAGGTAATGTGGAAGCATTCCAATGGGAAACCGTAATGTGCAGGGAAATACCTTCAGATTACATTGAGCACAGTCTGCTGCTTCAAGAAAAGGAAGTCCTCAACACACCCAAAAGAAGGCTCTTCTATACCTAACCATTCTTTGCTCTGCCACCTCTTATCTTCGTTTCTGGCCACCTCACTTGAGGAAGGGGAATTCTAAATTGCTGCGACTTGAAAGCGCTTTAAATTCCAACTGACAAATTGATGCATGTTTTGGCAATCTGGCAGTTCAAAGGTGAGCGCGTAGAGCAAGTTTGCCCTTCCCCTTGTACAACCCCGTTCGAGCTTGTCGAGCATCGTTGCCACAAAATGTCAGGGGTAGCTCCCACTGTGGAACAAAGGAGAACACGGTCTTCTTGTTCCCCACAGCCTTCTCTTAGCCTCATAGCTCATTACTTTTATTTCCAGAGAATTAATGCCGTAATAGTAATTCTATGGGACGCATTTTAACATTGGCAAGCTTTCCTGGGGGAAAGGAAGGGCTCCAGACTGTCTTTTTTCTTTCCTAAATTACATGTTAAATGTGTTGGGAGAAACTTAGCAGGAGCTCAGAGACACTGTCTTTCAAAGAGGGAAGATGCCACCAGTCGCCTTGGTGGTGGTGTCTTGTATTTTGTGAGAAGCAGAGGGTCCTCGTTCCCCTTATACTTAAAATTCAGTGGGAGCCAGAAGGGCTGTTATCCCTCACAGATGCCTCTCTTAGGGTGCTGCAGGTCCAAGCTTTTGGTCCTGTGGTGGCTTTACTGTCTGCCTTGTGATGCCTTTTGTATCCATGCCAAAAATTGCTGATCCCTTTTCCTCGATACAACACACAGCTTCGTACTGTGCGATCAGTAGAGAAAAATATCGTACAGCCTTCAGTATTGCTGTATACCTAATGCAAAGTGATAATAGCAAGAAAATGGAGAGTTAAGCTGCTTAGCAGATCCTGTCTTGCACCTTTAAATGCAGACCTTATTGTAACCATTAGTAGTGTACACGCAGCAGGCACTGCAACCTCAGTTCTGCCTTGTCTTTGTCCTTCTGTACACACTGTTATTGCTAGACTGTATTTTCCCTAATGCCAGGGACCGTGATTGCCTAGCACATAAACTAGCTGCTGGAAGATCACTGTTTAATAAAGGTTTTTATGCAGAGTGGAGATAAGAGAAGGTTAATATCTTCAGGCATCGAAGACGGTGCTGTAGTCGAGGTCTTAATCTGTCGTGGGGGCGTAGCTCCTCACGAAGAGGATTTTAGGTATGGCCATCAGTTCTGCATGTATCCCCCTCGCTCTGGGGGAGGGGCACGATCAGGCTAGCAAATGTACCCAATTAGTCATGCTTTTGCACATGAGGCCTCCATTAATCAAGTCTGTCTGTAGAGCACATGAGCTTTTAGTTAGAATGTGGAAAAATACCTGAAAATTACCCTTAGCAGCTAGCTTTGCAGAATGAATCTACTTGTTGCACTGTATCTGTTAAGGATCTTCCTCTCTGTCTAGTTGTAATGCTTGGGAGATGTTCTCAAGCAGTGAAGAACATGACAGCTGAGGTTAAACTTCAGCTTGAACTTAATCCAAGCACTTCCTTCTAAAAGCGGCACAAAGAAGAGACAAAACCACATGGAAAATGCAGAAGTTTGAAACTAACCTTGTATGACTGGATGCCTGTTTCGAAATTAAAAACAGTAGCATAGACATGTTCAAGTACCAATTTACAGCACAGCTTTAAAGTCCCAGTGCGCTATTAGCTATCTCTGTAGTACAACGTTAAAAGCAAAACATCTAGTAACTGTGCCAGTGTTTACTTCACTTGGGCATGTCCTTTGTTTAAAATAACTTGTGTTGTTTTATTCATCGAGTTCAGCTTCCTGATGCGCACCAGCTTCAATGAGGTGCTGTATGGTGCTCTCTCACGATGTATTTTCATAGCTCCTTCAGCTTTCCCAGCCCTGTATAGTTTGTGATCCTCCTTGCCTCCCCCCTTCTCTGCTGCTGGCTTTATGCTTTTTCCTTCCTTCTAAGCCTTTCCATGTGCTTAGTATAGCTGTCCAAGCAGAGTTCACAGGCTCCCGTTTCTTCTGAAAATGGTTCTTAAGACGGAACCTATTTCTAGTTGCTTGCCAACTCAAAATACGATACATCATCCTGCGTACGTTTTGTATTGATTTGTTTGTTAGTGTGCGCCTTTGATGCCATCAGACTGTAAATTTTTGGAAGCAGACTGATTTGTGCAGTGCGTTTTACCTAGCGCACGTTGCTCTGCTCATCTAAAGCTCTATATAAATAATGAAAATGTACAGGGCTTGCTGGCACAAGTCAGTGGAGAGCTGCATTTCCTGAGGCTCTGCTTCAGAGCGCTGCTTTGTTTCCGGGAGCTTCGCTTTGTTTCTGAGTCTGTTGTAAGTATTTTCCATAAAGCTTCTTGTGAGTTTCAGCTCTGAGGGCTCATCTGTCTTACACCTTAAATCAGGCAGACAAAGCCCGGCGTTGCAGCGGAGCATGCAGAGTGCAGAGAAGGCTTAAAGTCAGCTTCCCTTCCACTCCCGTTCCTTCCTCAGATGCAGAAATGGAATAACTGTGAATCTTGCCTAGACCATGGGAGTGAATATTGTTATCCTGAAAGCGTGGTGAGCTGGGTGAGGAAGGAGTATCTCCAGCCCCCAGAACAGCTGATTTTGGCCAATAAACAAGCCATGCGGATGAGCTCTCAAGAAATACCTGCTTAGAATGACTGTGTTTGTAACTTTAGGATATAAAGCAAATTTGAGTAGAAAGGTGTGCACTGATTTAGGAACCCTTTCCCTGTACAAATGCTGTCTTAAGACACCATTAGCAGCAACCCTCCTGGGATTTTGCCAAGTTGTTCTCACGTTGTAAAGTGCCTTCAGATAATTTTTTTGAAGGCTGCTATATAAATAAAACAACTGCCTGATTGATTTAAAGTGAATCTCTTGAATGTTGGCTTCACTTTCTACAAATTGCTTGCATCTAAGTTTGCGAGCTTGAAAAACTAAACCAGATATATCATGGGTGGAACGAGATTAATTTTATTGCAAACAATAGTTCATTAGCGAAGTAGGAGCAGTTTCATGTATTTGCATAGCCTACCCAAATTTTTTCACTGCAGCATCTTTCAGATGTAAATAAAAATATAATGCTCATCGAATTGCTTATTAGACAGCATGCAATAACTAAGCGTACTTGGTATTGTGCTGTAGGTTAAAATTCGTAGGGAACATCAGGCTGAAATTGGCACTGGGGACCAAAGCCATGATCTATGGCTGATGCTTTGGCCAGGCGCATGGGTTGACCTGAGGAACTGTAGAAGCAGACGGTTGAGTCACTGCATCCTAGATCCAGGATGTCTGTAGTGTGGTGACAAATAGCCTGTCCATGCCCTCTGGGAAGCAGAAGCTTCAGCTTGGTTCAGGAAGCCCCAGGAATTCAAATGTGAGCTGAGCCGTTGCAGCCACCGTTCTGCCTGTGTCCCAGGAGGACTTCTGAAGCTAAAAGCAGGAGTCTGTACCCGTGTCTTGTGCTAAAGAGCCAGCACTTGTAACCAAGAACTGCAGCAGACCGTGCACTGCGTGCGGGGGGGGGTGTTGCCTAAATTCACGATGGTAGCAATACATTGGTGGCTGCTTACCTAAGCTTCACCCTGTTTTAAACTGCATAAACGTTTATGTGCTTGCGTTTGTTTTTGTAGAGCTGGTTCCATACATGAATACACCTTTTTTTTTTTTTCTTTTTTTCACCACGAGTATCTTTGTTGGATCCCAGTTTACTCCCTCATACATAAGACCAGCTGGCGGCTGGATGAGACTAGCAGACCTGTTAATGTCAATCCTGAGTCAGTCAGCAGGATCAATGTTTTGAGGCAGTTCTTCCTCCCAAGTGGCTGATCACAGTAGCTGCACAGACATTTCTGCTCCTGGAACTGAATTCCTTTTTCATTATGCAGTAACATCATGTTGCAACACAATTATAGGAGCTATTCCTAATCCTTCCTGCCTTTGCTATTATTTTCAGATCGTTATCTACTTTGGTAATAAATACTTGTCATCATAAAAGACACACAAATGATGACGACGAAATGGTATATTTTCAGCTAATTACAGCACAAACCTGCCCAGCTTTATGTCTGGTTTAGTGCAGTTCTCATTCTCTTCTGCTGAGAACTATTTTAACTATACAAGGTGACCTTCTGATACGAAGCACTGTGCTAAGGCCATCAAACTCGAGTCGTATTGGGCCACAGAAGGAATCTGTCTGTATGTTCAGATATGTCACACTAATCCTGCTAAGTCCTTTGGACTCACTTCAGCACTTTTATAGATCCTTTATGAATTTGAGTATTTTCCTGAAAAAGATTGTATATTTTTGTTTAAGAAATGAAGTGAATGTTATCTTACTGAAAGACACAGCTAGGGAATGGTTAAGTCTTTTAATATCCCTAGGTGGGAATTAGGGAGCAAGAATGGATGCTTTGTAAGGAATTGCTGGTTGTTATTACAGACTTTCGAAAAACAGACATGAAATTAACAGTTGTGTGTCATTTCATTACTGCTTTGGCAGTCTGCTTTCTTTTTTCTTTAAGGCTAAGATGGTTGCTAGGGCTTTGTAGTGAATAACCTTTTTGTGTGCAGCTTAAGGCAGAGTATAATTATTTTATAATTTTCGTTCATGGGCCGTTTTAGACGTTTTGAAGAAAAAGAATCTCAGCTTCTGTTAATCCCCCTCATTCTCAGTTGCCCTTCATTGGCATGTCACAGCAACAGACAGGGAAGCTCTGTGTCTGTCCCCAGCATTTGCACTGGGTATTTGCCTGAGGAGCCGGCTACTGCTAGTGAGATGAGTGAGGATTTGACGTTGGTATATGCTAGCACTGACCGACTTTGAAAAGTGAAGTCCCCTGTCAAGGTAGGTGTCTAGTTTAACAGTGTAATTGCTGTGCATAAACGAGGTGATGGACAGCAGCTGCAAGACGTAACAAAATTGCACATTGTGTTAAAGCTGACACGGAGCAAATTTACCTCTAGGAATCAGAAAATTAACTCTGGCGTGTGGTCCCAGTGAAGTTTTCCTCCCCGTAACATCTTTACCAAAGGGTTTCAGGTTGATTTTTTGGATGTTAACTGAACTCCTTGTCTTTGCTGTGAAAGGGTCTGAGATAGCCGTGTTGTAGCTGTGTACAGCAAGGCACGAGACCATGGGAGGGCAGGGTCTATCCAGCCGAGAGTGGGCACCTGTAGCACAGGCATCTCCATTTGAGCCAGATATCCTGGGATCGCTGCATAGTCGTGGAGAGCTAGCTGGCAGTATTAACGGTATGATTTGCCTCATCTGATTGTGATTGTGTTTGGTCACCTAAATCATGCTGTAAATTCTAGGCTACGTAACCTATCCTTTTGTAGGCTAAAGTGGCAGCCAGGCAGCTTGCTCAGAAGGAGATACAGGGTAGACACCTGAAGTCGGACAAACACCCTCTGACTTGGCTGCAGTTGCACAGGTGAACCTGTAACATGTTCACTGCCAAAACCCAGGTTTGCTGAATGTACAATCCCATTGATACCCGTTAGGTCCCCCAGCCTCACCAGATCTCATATCTGACTGGTGGATTACCCTCCTCTTTCTGTTTTTTAACCCTCTGTAAGAATGCAGTTACACGTCTTCTGTGCGTTTTGCCTTACTGTTTGATGAAGTGATTGCAATCTGATGCTGCAGATATCTTTCTTTTCTTGCAAATTGCTTTGCTATATGGGCAAAGTCTCCAGCGATGTGAATGTTAATGAGCTAAAAAAAAAAAAAAAAACAAACTTGGCCTTGATGGGAGCTATTTAGAATTGTAGACTCCCTGTATTTATGGCTTGGAAAACGTTAAAAAGAGAGGAAACATATTCTTGCTTAAGGTGTGCCGCTAACTTGGGCTCCATCACTTCTGTCTGGTTGCCATAGCGACCGTGCAATGGCATGGGAATTCCTTTTATGGCTGATTTCCGAGTCCAACATGGCCGGGAAGGAGCCTGCCGACCGGGTTTCCTAGCAACTTGTTCCTATGCCGTGGTAACTAGGAAATGCAGCCAGCGCTTTTTAATAGCGCTCATCATTTTGATCATATGTTCCACTCTGTCAACTTTTGTCTTTGTGGTATGAAATAATTAGTACGGAGTAAGTCTACAGAAAGATGCCTGTTTTCTTTTGGTTCTTTTCTCCTCCTCTCACTTTATGAACGTTCAATGCAGGAGCATTCATAGGAAGGCAAAGACAACAGTCCATTTATATAAAGAAAAAGAAATCAGAATGTTCTATTCAACATGTGAGGCTGCAGAGTAATAAAAGTGATGCCATCTGCCCAGTGTGGAAAGAGAGGCATCCTGAGCTTCCCAGGTTTGTAGCCGATCAGACGTCAGGTTTCAGGACAAGCCTCCTGAAATGCAGGTGTTGAAATGCATTTTAAATCATTCTTTCAATTCCTGCTCTGATCCTACTTCCTTTTGTGATTTTATCTTCCCCAGACTTCAGAGGTTTTTTGAGAATGACCTGGCCTGTGGAGGGGGATGGGAATTAGTAAGAGTTTAGGAAATCATTACGAAGATGTATGATGAAATTAAAATGCAAAGTTGTATTAATTATTTATATTGTAGTCATGCCCTACCCGAGGTTGCCTGACAGGTCCCCCCCTGCTGATATGCAGCCCTGTGCAAAGGCAGAGTCCGTATAGCCAAGGACAAACAGTCAGTGACCTTCATTCAGAAAAAAGCATCTCCTCAGGAAATTGCTTGTGCGAGGATTAGCTTCAAGCATACAACCCCTCCTATTTAAGCTGATAGGACTCCTGCTATGTTTAAAGTTAACTTTAACAATTTTGTATGAAGGGCTTGTCAAGGCTGGGAGCAACAGATTGTAGCTGGGGTGTGTGTATGTGTCCATGTAGGTGTCTCTTACGAGTCCCCTGAAACGCGTGTTGCAGAGGTGGAGTCTGGTGGAGTTGCCCACCCACAGATCTCGACCTGCAACGTTATGCCCGCGTTCAGAGCAGAGGGATGAGACTGAGCTGAAATCACAGGGAATTGCACTGATTCGCTGGTTTTGAGCAACATTGCAGATTTTTCTCATATCTTCACAGATCTTCTTAGCACTGGCCCTGGAGAGGAAGGAAGAAGGTGGTATGTTATTCCCAGCGGTTGCAACCTACCAGCCTCTTGTTTTTAAGCCGGCTCCTAAACACCCACTAGGAAGTTGATTGCATGCTGTTTACAGCCTCCTTTTATATGAAGTAACATGTTCCTTGTCATTAATTATGCAGACAGTGAGCGCAGAGGATCTTGAAAATCATCAGGGCCTGTGTGTAGGACTTATGTCGTGTAGTCTCTTAGACTAGTCTCCAAGAAGGTAGTTAATCTCCTATTGTGGTAGCTGTTTTTCCCCATCCTCTAAGCAAGGAAAATGAGCAGTGAAAACTTACTTGACTTATTTCATGTTACAGGGAAATGTTAACTTCCTGTCTCTACTAACCTTTCTGTAATATATTCCAGAAGACAACTTGGAGAAGCATACAGAGTCTATACTGCAGTTTGGATTGCGAGACGTTATTTGTCAAGGAGGTCAAAGGTAGTCGGTGAAGTGCTGGATTTGACATTGTGTCCATCTTTTCTGGTTTGCTGGCTCTGGCACTAATCAGTGCTCTTTAAGAAAAGCAAAACAAAGCACACCAAAACTGTTTAATTTTTCAAGGGGAAAATTCCTGCTAACCTTTGCTAGAATTGTAGAATTCTTGCATCCTGAATCTTGGGATTGATTTGCGTATGCTCTTCTTGAAATAGATGCAAGTGTTCTTGTTGGTTACGCTGCTTTTATCAGTTTTATTTTTTTGATAGCAGTATGTAAGACTTCATCTTTGCTGGATACGGCAAAATAGATTCCCAGATGATTTAATTTTAGCAGCACTGCACTGTCCTGAACTGGGCAGTACTGATTTGTTATACCAACTGCAAATGTGGCCCTTCATATCTGGTATCAATTTTCTCTTAAAGAACATAATCACACCAGCCCACAGTGATATTTAGTATTACTCAACCGTTGTAAAAATGACAAACTTTACATCAACACTAAATTGACTGTGATTAGTCACATATGTCAGTATTAACAAAAGATGACACTTACAAATGTCCCATGTGCTTTTATTTCACATTTTCTGTTATGTTGTACTGTGCATTTACTCTTCCTCTGGGAATGTTTATTGCCAGGGGAAGTACCACCTATTTAGCAAACAGATAGATTGTGAACATTGATCTTTGTTGTTTTGAGAGAGTAGATTTCATTGCCTTCAAAATAACTGACCATCATTATTTTAATTAGGTGCATGTATCCCAGCCTTCACTGAAGCAGAAAAGACTCTAAGTCTTTCTACGGAAGCTCTTACGCAGTTTCAATCTCATATGTTGTCAGCTGTAACTGGTTCTTTTAATCTGTTGTAGTAAATGTCAGGTGAGGAACTGACAGTTCGGTAGGTAACCATTTTCCATTTATCCACACTCTGTGTAATACATGAATGGATACTGACTGCCTGCGAATGACCACTGCTGTCAATCCAACTTAAAATCTGTTCTGCTCTGTATTTCTGGAGAGATTCTGCCTGTATAATTTATCTGTAGATTATAAAGGATAGGGTGGCAGTGAATTAAAGTCTACATTAAATTTATTAGCTGTACTTTAAATATTTGATCACAGAGAGGCTAAAGATTCAAGTACCCATGTGATATGCTATGATTACGCTTTACAAATGGCCAAGGTACTTCTGCGGGGTGAGATGAAAAAATTTTCCTTAGGTTTGTGAGAAGATTGTAACTATATATATCTCTCTTGTATTTCAAGCCTAAATATTGTACATTATTTACAATCTAGGAAAGGAATGTGCGACTCCAGATAACAGAGGGACAAAAAAGGATTAAGATCACCTCATTGGTAAACATCCGCGATAGCTGGCGGGAGGCATAAACAGAAGCTGTACAGGGGCCAGGGCAGTGCTACTTGTTTCATAGACAGAGGAGATATGGAGACAGTACAGTACATAAGTTTAAATGTGTACCTGCCTGTATGCCTCTTCCTTCCTATGTGACCTGGAGCAGTACGTACTGTAGGATGAGATGGAGCATGTTTAGGCTATTATAACATGGAAGATATGGCTTTGTGGGTTGCTGTTGTGGTGTTTTGAACTGCTCAGCTACCTTCAGCTTTCGTTCACAGACTGACTCTTTTAACGCTTTATTCCCTTTTTTTGCTCTCCTTCCTGTACATGTATGGAGAGACAAAGCAAAAAAAAAGGGATGCGCAAATGCATTCTGTGTAAAACTCGTCATGCCTTTATTTACTGTAGTACTGTCACCATATTTATGAAATGAGCTTAATGCTGCTTCAGGTAGAATGAGGCCTAATAATTGTATATATGCATCAACAAGGGCTATATTCTTTGTCGTTCCTCTGCCTTTTTTCTCACTGAATAGTAAGAACAGGATTTTGAGAAGTATTCCAAACATTTGGTAAACTCAAGACTCCAGGAGTTTGGTTTTTTAAAAATATTTGTTCATGAGTGTCACAGATTTGCCAGGTTATGAGCACTTCTAAAAATCTGTCCCGAGCTTACTGCGTGAATTAGGCCATTGAGTTAAATTCATCTCCCTGTAAGCTAACAGACTACCCAGTATGACTGAGAATGGTGGAATCGATCCTGGTAAGACATACTCATTTGACTAAATTATATTTACAGTCTGTGCTCCCTGTATGTGATGGTCATCCCCCTGTGAGTCATCTGAATGCATTCCAGGATATGTGGGAATCTCTTCGTGGCAGAATGTTGATTTAATGAATTTTGAGCAAGAGAACTGCAACATCAAAAGCAAAGACACACAGGGAGTAAGTGACTGGAAACAAGAGCCCTCCATCTAAAAAACCAGGACAAATATTTCTCTGCTGTTTTGTTAAAGGATTCTTTTTCTTCTCAGACATGAAGAAATCCCTATAAGACAAACATGCTAGCAGCTACTATCCATGTTAGCTCCTGTTTGTGCTCAGCATGTCAAGAAAGGAAAAAAAAAAAAAAAAAAAGACTCACTGTTTTGCAAGGACGCTGCTTCCTCTGCAGATATTTACAGGTTGTTTTTTTTTAGCAAAACTTACAGTTTACAAACTGCCCACTGCATTTCCATTTTTGTTGCAGGTTCTATTGTTACTGCATAATGCAGAAATATCGGAGTGCTACCTTTTGTTTTCATATAATCACCTAGGTTCTGTACATACCGCTCAACTAAGAAGAAAAATACATTGTTATCTACTCTATTGCATAATTATGTTTTCTGATTTTTAACAGGATTTCATAACGTAGATGATAAAATCCATATATCTATATGTTGATAAGGCTTGTATTCTTCAACCCTATTGCTCCGTTGAGACAACTTGTACCTGGAAGATGTGGAAATGTGTTATCAACCCATTAGCGTAAGCAGTCTTCCACTTTTTGTTCTAGAAATATGACTAGATATTGATCTTAAAGAGCTCTAGGATGCTCTTCTTGGAGCAGGAACCTGAAATTTTGTAATGAAATAGTCTAAAAAACTACTTCAGAATCACGCTTTCACTTTAAAAAGTAATGCAGTGAATGTTTAACACCTGGTGAGTACTGAAAGTGTTGCTTTTAAAACTAAAAGTTATTTCATGTGGAAAGTGTTCCAAAGCTTGACAGCGTTTCCCATGCATTTTTACTGTCTTCCAACTGGAAAAATTTGGAAGATACTAGTGGAGTGTGTGTGCATGATTATGTCAAGAGGGAAAACGCACTTTGTACAAAAACCTGGAAAAGATTGCTTCCGAATATGTTTTTCGAGTACAGCTGAAATTAAATGAAATCTTACTTTTCTAACAAGAAAATGTTTCTGTCAAGGTGTTCTGACCTGTTCAGGTTCTCATGCCAATAGTGAGCCATGTAGGAAAGAAAGAGAATTTGGGTTTCCCCAAAATAACAAACCAAAATGTTATAAGGAATGACATATAACCAGGAAAAGCACATTAGATTTGCACAGCCTAGGATTTAAACAATAGGAGTAGGACAGAATTGAGGCTCCCGTTTGATTGCTTATTTGTTTATTTATTTATTTATAATTAATTTATTGTTTGTTTGTTTATCGCTTTTGCGTTGCCTATTGCCTAGGTATTCATGCCAAGGCAAAGTGAGTATAAAACATTACCGAACTTCTGCAGAAGCATTGTAAGTTGACTGCACGAGGATAAGTAACTGCCTAATGCTTGGGGAGCGATGAGCGGGGCCCATGTGCTCCAGCTGTTATCTTTTCATTATACTTTTAACTTGTTTGCCTGCAGTTGTGTGCTTTACACTGTGCTGTCAAAAGCTCTGGCAGCGGAGCTGTGTTATTTTCAATGGAGCCATGGCAGACATAGCTAAATTACTGGTGTAAAGAACCTTTGGCATTTTTACAGTACTGAATATATTTGTCATGAACACTTAGCAAAAATAGCATCTGGAAGGCCAGTTGGAAGCAAGGAAGGAGGGGGACATTTACGGCATGTGAATAAAATTGTTAGCTGCAAGGCAAAAATCACTGTAGATTGGCAACTCCTACCCTCAACAACTGTCCCAATAGCTCAGCAACGCTCATCTGCTCAGCTCTCTGTTCCAGAAACCATGATTTTTAGTGCTGTTGCTGCTGATGAGGTCAACGTATGGCTCACGGTAATGGAAAGTGAGCTCTTGAATATTCCCCAGAAGGTTTAGCATTTGTTTTCCAAATAGAGAGAAAGGAAAAGGGAATGCTGATAAAATTATCCATTTTTATTATAAACAAACGCAAACAGCTGTGGGAGCTCTCACTGGCTTTGATGGCTACTTGTAGCTTCAAAAGCAGGTTAATTTGCTCCACCCTCATCTATAGGTGTCACTGTGGTGAATTAAACAAACTATAGGAAATGTCAACAGTGACTGAGTAAACAAGCTGTGTTGAAATAGCGTTGGCTGAATAAATACCTAATTTAATGGCATCCACTGGAGAATGAATGGTCTTGCCGATACCGGTTATACTCTAGCCTTGTAAATAAGGAGAGTTTAGGACTATAGTATCAACATCTATCAGAATTATGGATTTTTTACTGTATTGAAAGGGAACGTAAAAGAACTAGTATTGTTGCAGGACAACTAAAACAAGTTTTGGGCAGGCACATGATGAGGGAGGAGTGGGTCGCGTGGTGTCTTCTCTATCAAGTGCCAAAGGCAGAGCCCACGTTGGGAAGACCTGGTGTCTGACCCCAGCCCGTGTACCCTCTACCTCATCTCCAGGAAAACGACCCCTGGGTTTTTTTTGCTCAGTTGTAAATGTATGCTTCAGAACTTACTGTAGAAAA